TCTCTCTCTCTCTCTCTCTCTCTCTCTCTCTCTCTCTCTCTCTCTTTCTCTAGACAGGGTCTTACTATGTAGCCTCAGCTGGTCTGAACTCACTTTGTAGGTCAGGCTGGCCTCAAACTCACACAGATCAGCCTGCCTCGGCCTCTCAAGAGTTAGGATTAAAGGTGTGGGCCACCACCTGGCCTTTCTTTTTCCTAGACAAAGTATCACTGTATCCCAGGTTGGCTTTGAATTCATGATCCTCCTGTGTCTGCCTTCTAAGTGCTAGGATTACAGATCTGGACCAAAACACCCAGATCTGATTACAAAATTTCCCATAGTAATTGACAAATCACCTTTGTGTTCCTCCGAAGTCTTCTTTCCTCCCACCTCTGTCAGGGTTCTAGGGGCTCCCCAACTGCCCATGACCTCCCAGCCCACCAGATATCCTGAAATCACTGTTGGCTGAGATTCAGGAACAAGGAGGTCAAACACACATTCTTAGTTCGAATTCCAGCTGTGACACTTACTAGCTGTGTGGCCTCGGGCACGTGTCTGAACCTCTCTGAATCTCGGTTTCTTCATCTGTAAAACGGAGAGAAGGAACAGGCTTTATTTTGGTGAAGATTATGCACACTCATGAGCACCGCTGTTAGAACAGCACCTGGCATGTACAATTTAACACATACTAAAAATTATTGCTGCAACATCACTGGGCGCCTAATGCATAACAAGCACAGAACTGTGGGTGCTTTCATTTTAAATATTATTACTATTGTGTATGTGTGGCAGGGTCAGGGGACAACTTTCTGGAACTGGTTCCTTCATCCCACCTTCATGTGGCTTCCGGGAATCGAACTTAGGTTGCTAGAATTGTACAGCAAGCTCCTTCACCAGGTGAGCCATCTTGCTGGTCTAGAAGTGCTTTAAAATCAACCACATTTGAGTACTAATTCCAGTTCTCTCGTTTACTAACTCTAGAAGACCACAGTAATGATTCCCATACCTAAGCCATAATTTCTTTATTTTTCTCCCTTTTAAAAATTTTTGTTGTTATTTTTCACTTGTTTGTGACATGGTGGTATTATTATGTCGCCCAGGCTGGTTTAAGTCACAAATCTCCCCAATAGCAAGTTTTGTTGTTGTTATTGAGACAAGGTCTCACTGAGTAGACCAGGCTGGCCTTGAATTCAGGGATCCACCTGCCTCTGCCTCCCAAGTCCTGGGATTAAGGGTGTGTCCACCACATCTATCTTGTTCTTGAAGACAGGATAGTATGTAGTGCACACTGTTCTAGAACCTGCTCTACAGTTGAGGCTAGCCTTGAAATCTTGGTCCTCCTCCTTCAGCCTTCCAAGCACTGGGATCACAGGTGCGTGCTACCACACCCGGACAGGCCAACATTTCTTGACTTTGTATGCTAAGACAATAATCTTCACACTGAGTTTATGCATGGGAACCACTGAGTACGCTGCCTAACACACAGTAAGCACTCAATGAATGCTAAGTCCTCCACCTAAGTTGGTGGAAAACAAACAAAAAAGGCAAAAACAAACAAATAAACAAAACCCCAAAATGGAAAAGGTGGGAAGAGTTGAAAAAAAAGCATCAGAGTTTCCCATCCCAGTCTGGGGAAGTCCTCCTCTGAGTATGGTTTCTTTCTAGGTTCAGCTGCGCTCCTGAGCGGGGTGACCGGTACCAACAGTAGGTACACAGGAGGCCCATACATGCCTACAGGCGCATGCGCGAGCACACACACACACACACACACACACACACACACACACACACACACACACACTGCCTCTGCTCCAGGCAAAACCTCCCGGCGGGGATTCCCCCTCCAGCAGCTGCAACCCACGACCTGTCAGCTCCCATCACAACACAGGGTGGGCGGCAGAGGGGGGTAAAGAGGAAAGGATGGGAAGGGGGCGTCCTTGAAGCTGTTTCACCCCTCCCTGCCCTTGCCCTAGCCCCTGCTGACCAACCTCCAAGGAATCTATGTGGGGTGGTGGCCATATGTGACCTTGATCTTCCTGCCCAGGGGTAGAAGATTGGGACCAACAAAGCTGGAGAAAGGCTGAGAGAGAACCAGAAGGAAGCAAGTCGGGGAGAGATGGACTGAAAGACAGCAGGGCAAAAAGAGAAAATAGCTTCCCAAGGCGGTGAAGTAGGTTCTGGTACAGCTCAGCAGAACATGTGCCTGGAATCCCCCAATGAGGGCCCGGGGGGCGGGGCTTGGTAGTAGAGCACCTGCCTAGAATGCAGCCATGAGGGGCTGGGGGCGTGGCTCAGTGGTGGCAGGCAGCTGTAATCCCAGCACTCAAGAGGTTCAAAGATGTGGGCCAGCCTGGGTTACATATGAAGACCCTGTCTCAAGAAACCGAGAGGAGATGAAAAGTCAGGTAACAGTGGAACAAAGGGGGAAAAAAAACCTGAGTGAAGAAGAAAATGCATCAAACAGACTGAGCCAGAGATGGATAGACGAGGCGGGGGAGAGGAAAGAGTTAGAGAGACGAAACAGAGGAGGAGAGAAACAGGATAGGAGGAGACGGAGATGGGCTGGAGAGAGGCTGAGGCAGGGCTAGGGTAGCACATCTCTGCGCACCCCCATCTCCATTCTGCCTTCCTCTCCCTCCAGTTCTGCACTGACTCGAAGCCCAGGTCTGGAAGGTGGGCCTCTACCAGCAGGAGCCCTGTGGGACACCTGCTTGCTTTGGGTCTCCAGGGCCCAGAACCTATTCCATGAAACAAGCATGGGGTTTCCCCTGGCACAGCTGCAGCACACTCATAGGAAAGACAGTGGCAACGAGAACAGCTGCCGGTCACCCAAAGGCACCGTGGCACCTCGGGTTAGAATCCCATCCCTCTGCGAGGGTTCGCACCCCAAGTCCCAGCTGTGTGTTGCTTCAATGAAACAACACCTCCCCCTGTGCCTCCCTGTGCTCATGTGTGACAATGATGACCCCTAGCTACCTCACAGGGCTTTGGGGAGGGCTCAGGAAGAATAATGGTCACATGCTTAGCTTGGCTTCAGACCACATAAATGCTACATCAGTGTTAGATGATACTAACACTCTGTGTGTGTGTGTGTGTGTGTGTGTGTGTGTGTGTGTGTGTGTTGCTGCAGATGGAACCCAGGGCCTTGCTCATGCTAAGCAAATGTGCTGTGGCTAAGCCACACCCCCTGCTCCTTCACTAATGGATTCTAGGCAGGTGCTCTACAAGTGAGCTACTGGCCCTCCTTCTTTTCTTCTCCTCCTCCTCCTTTTTCTGAAACTGGGTCTCACTGTGTAGCCCAGGCTGGCACCAAACTCATAATTCTCCTGCCTCAGCCCACTGACTGCTTGGATGACAGGCCTGAATCACCATCGTGCAGGGGTTATTCCATACCTAGAAACACTTGTGGATCCTTACTGATAAAATGGGACCCCACTTTCGTGACCACCTTACCTATCTTGAGAGACATCATATCTTGACATACGGGGCCCCTCTGAGCCTCCTGACCACCATGAAATGAACCCTTACCCAGCTACAATGCTCACAGGCTTATCTCTACTCTTCAGTGGGAATGGGCACCTGCCTCCCTGGACACCGTGGTCTTCTGCACCCGGGTACACTGGTAGAGCTCTGGCCTGGGCAGACAGTGTGCTATCACCCCAGTCTCTTCCCAGCCCAAGGCACACCCCACATCCCTCATCCAGTGCATGGCACTATACTCACCTCTCTTCAAGGAGTCAGGGCCTGGGCCGGTACCTGCAAAAGAACAAAACCACGGTTGGCCTCTTCCAGCTTCTTTCTAGGCATCAAGGCCTACCTTGGAAACCACCTGAGCCGAGGGAATCCCTAGAGTGATCACTTTCTCAGGCTCCCTGCTACAGGATCTTCAGACTGGGCCTCAGGACTGTTCACCCTCCAAACCCCAGGAGTCCGGGATGTGAGCTTTGCCCTCTGGTGTCTCAGGAGCGCTGACCCTTACCCCCTCCCTGACCTGTATCAGTTTCCTCGAGCATGGAATCTACCCTCCCCTCTTAGCAGCCCTAGATTTCTAAATTCCCAGGCTTTTCTTTTTGAGACCCAAGAGCCTGGACCAGACATTTTATCCTTTAGAACTCAAGAGTTCTCAAATGGGCTCCCCAACTTCAAAGACATGAGTGGCATCCAGAGCGCAGAAGCACCAGGGGTTCCTATCATGCCATCGCATCTCAATCCACATTAACATTGGTGAGCCCATGCCAATCCATGAGTCTCAATCCAACTCTACAGGGTACACCACCCCAGGCTGGGTGCTCCCTGCCCTGCAGGGTACTGAGCCCAGGACATAGTCACATCTGTGTTCCAGGACACAGACATTGGCATGCTCCATACAGCTCACACTTGCTAGACCCAGAAACAGTCACTCCTGTGCCCGAGGCACAGGTGCGTGTATCTTGTATCTACATGTATCTACATGCCTAAACATACAGAACCTGGTCCCCAGAGACTAAAGTAGAAAAGGACTTCCAAGAGAGACACGCACCCCTCAAGGCTGACATACCTGCACACACACACACACACACACACACACACACACACAGGTTCTCCTTTGCACATTCACAGATGCACAGATACAGAGAGACCTGTGTGCCCCTTATCAGACAACCAGACACTTGCATCTATATAACCCTTGTCAATACACAGTGGCTCACACACACAAGACTCACCTGCACAATGAGAGATACATAGGTGCACACTCTTTCACACCCAAACACATTCATGCAACTTCACATATTCCCACCAACAGACACATGCAGGTTCAGCAGCACACACTCCACACGTGCACACAGAACCCTTAGCACGAACACACACTGACAAAGCTGGGAGCCGGGAGCAAGCACACAGGCACTTCGTAGGCACTCTGAGAGGCTCACGCATCACAGACACACTCACGCTACAGTCCCAGGAGGAATAGCACACTTGTAAATGCACACAAAACACCAAAGCACCGAGCACAGTCGACAGAGCGACCAGCTTCACACTCACTGTCACTGATACCCGTTCCTCAGGGCCCGGCACTCTGCCCCACCTACTTCCCAGGCCAAACACATCTAACACCCTCCCAGTCCTTTTACACCCCGCCCCAAAAAGAACCAAGTACAAGCCAGGGTCAAAGGTCATAGTTCAGCAGGTGGGACCTCGTAGGGATGGGAAGGGGCTGAGTCCCAAAGCCGGGTTCCCAAAAGATTCTGCCATCAGCAACCCCCAGAGTCTCCCCAGCCTTGCTATCAAGACACAGGCAACTGAGGCCCTATCTGCAGATACCCGGCAGGTGGGGGAGTTAGGGTGGCGTGGAGTGGGAAGGGCCAGGTCTTCATCCCCACCCTCCACTCTCCAACCTCACCCCCCACCCCAGGGCCCATCTGTCCATCCCTCGGCCTCTCATCCCTCCATCTGTCCACCTCCCGGCCTCCCATCCCCCCTCCCCAACCAGCCACGGAGAAGAGAAGGAAGACATGGCCGTCTCCCCCAAGGATCACTGAGGGACCCCCCCCCCAGCTGACATGGACCGAGGGAGCAGCCAAGCAACCCCCCCCCATCCATACAGAGGCCTGGCCCCACTATGCGCTGAGCCTCAGCCCCCACCCCAGCAGAGTACCTGACACAGACACACACACACACAGACACACACACACACACACGCCCTCGGAGACATCCAACCCGCATACAACACACACACACACACACACCTTCCGATGGATGTCCAACCCCGCCGGACACAGACCCCCAACACAGCCAGCCGCACGCGCGCACAGGCCCACTGGGAGCCCCGCACACCTGGGC